TCCCTCATTAAAAAGCAAATCAATTTATAACATTTTTGACATGCGTTTTTCTGGATTTTGTTGTTGTTATTCTGTCTCTCACTGTTCAAATAAACCTGCCATTAAAATTATAGACTGATCATGTCTTTGTCAGTGGGCAAACGTACAAAATCAGCAGGGGATCAAATACTTTTTTCCCTCACTGTATACCTGCTGGAATGCATACTACGGGTGGGTGTTGCTATGGTGACCAATGAGCTAAGATAAGGCAGGGATTTGCCTAGAAGTGATTTATAGATGACCTGGAGCCAGTGGGTTTGGCGACGAATATGTAGAAAGGGCCAGCCAACGTGAGCGTACAGGTCACAATGGTGGGTAGTATATGGGGCTTTGGTGACAAAACGGATGGCACTGTGATAGACTACATCCAATTTGCTGAGTAGAGTGTTGGAAGATATTTTGTAAATGACATCGCCGAAGTCAAGGATCGGTAGGATAGTAGGTTTTACGAGGGCATGTTTAGCAGCATGAGTGAAGGAGGCTTTGTTGCGAAATAGGAAGCCGATTCTAGATTTAACTTTGGATCGGAGATGTTTAATGTGAGTCTGGAAGGAGAGTTTACGTTCTAACCAGACACATAGGTATTTGTAGTTGTCCACATATTCTAAGTCAGACCCGCTGAGAGTAGTGATTCTAGTCGGGCAGGCGGGTGCAAGCAGCATTCGATTGAAGAGCATGCATTTAGTTTTTACTAGTGTTTAAGAGCAGTTGGAGGCCACGGAAGCTCGTTTGGAGGTTTGTTAACACAGTGTCCAATGAAGGGCCAGATGTATACAAAATGGTGTCGTCTGCGTAGAGGTGGATCTGAGAGACACCAGCAGCAAGAGCGAAATCATTGATATACACAGAGACTAGAGTCGGCCCGAGAACTGAACCCTGTGGCACCCCCATAGAGACTGCCAGAGGTCCAGAAAACAGGCCCTCCGATTTGACACATTGAACTCTATCTGAGAAGTAGTTGGTGAACCAGGCGAGGCAGTCATTTGAGAAACCAAGGCTATTTAGTCTGCCAATAAGAATGCTGTGATTGACAGAGTTGAAAGCCTTGGCCAGGTCGATGAAGATGGCTGCACAGTACTGTCTTTTATCGATCGCGGTTATTATATTGTTTAGGACCTTGAGCGTGGCTGAGGTGCACCCATGACCAAGCTCGGAAACCAGATTGCATAGCGGAGAAGGTACGGTGGGATTCGAAATGGTCGGTGATCTGTTTGGTACAACGCACATCTAGGAGCTTAAGCTCCGCCAAGTAATGGACGTGATGGCTTGATGGAGTGTTTGCTGTCTCAGCTACATACTGTAAAGTACCTTCAGTTTGATGGCTTGATGGTGTGTTTACAGGTAAGGCTGACAGTGTTCCCTGAGAGGAAGGCTGCCATCTGGGCTAAGGTTGCCTGGTGGGTGATTTTCCTCTCAGTAATGGTAGGACTGCTACTGCTGGCTCTGCTCGGCTTTCTGCTGTGGAAGGTAACACGATGTGGAATACATACTGTGGAAGCCAGAGGTTGGTGGGAGGAGCTATAGGAGGACGGCTCCTTGTAATTAATAAATAATACATGGAACGCAAAAGCATCAAACATGTTCCATTTATTCCATTCCATTATTCCATTACAATGAGCCTGTCCTCATATAGCTCCTCTCACCAGCCTCTGGTGGAAGCCAAATATTGATATGAATATTGAAACGTCTGGTAATCTTTATTTTGTGTGTTTGTGTTTACTCCGGCTACAAATAAAGCTGTCTATTTAAGTGATAATGCCCTGGAAGCCGGTGTTTGGAGGATATATTGGCACGTGTATTGTTGGCAAACCGTGCGAATATATCCTCCAAACACCGGCTTCGAGGAAATTATCACTTTTATACAACGGGTTACCAACGTATTCAAATAATGATTGACATATTTTCATTAAACGTCATTTTGATTAATTTATTCATACTATTTCATCCTTCCACAAGATATAGTCCCGACACAAATCTAGGGTTGCTACCCAAGCCAGCTGGTCCTTCGTTCTATTGGTTTGGTTGCCAGAGACGGGACCCAGTCGTTCAGTCTTTTGGTTCTGTATCTATGGACACGACCCAGTCGTTCAGTCTTTTGGTTCTGTATCTATGGACGCGACCCAGTCGTTCAGTCTTTTGGTTCTGTATCTATGGACGCGACCCAGTCGTTCAGTCTTTTTGTTCTGTATCTATGGACGCGACCCAGTCCTTCGTTCTAAATGTTCCATTGCCATACTGGCTTATCCCTTACCTGCTAGCTAGCCAATTACGGCTAATTTCCAGTCACGTCAAAAAGTGTAGCCAGAATAACAGCAAAGTAGCTTCATTTGCATTTGTTAAGCTGTTTTCTAGTGACATTTATTTAGATAGATCCATAACAATGAGCTAATGAGGGGCGATTTCGTTTTACCTTTTTTCAATTGACATTTCTTTGTATATATCCATAAAAATGATGCCAGCTGATTCATGATTTCGACTGGCTGAGAAACGCTGCCTGCCTGTCTGTCTCGTCCTGACACGTTCATTACTATGGGACAGCTGGAGATCGAATTTGAATATTTAAACAATGTTGCAAATGTCAGAGAGACAGAAAGCAAGGCTTATACAAATCTCAGCTGTTGAAAACTACATGTTAGTCTAAAAGAAATGTGAGATAATGTCTAGATGCTTTTTATAGTGGAAATCAAGTTTATAACTTGTCTGGCAGGGCTGATGAGACAGTGGATTGCGCAGTCAGATGGAACAGAGTAAATAGGCATTTTAACGTCATAGATATAGCCGGTGGTAATTTGTGGAATAGACACCGTCTGGAATGCGCTTTTAACCTGCATTCAGCATTCAGGATTATACCCACCCGTTGTATAATTGATCATGTTGTAGTGCAGATGCATCAAGTACCCTGTGGCTAAAACGTCCCACATCATGCATAAGATCACAGAGGAACGTCACTCCATTTGGGTCCAACTGCATTGGCACAGGGACTTTGACACACATCAATACAATGAATTGAACAAAATAGTGAAAAAGCTATATTTTAAGATTGTGTATGTACACCAATGTTTAAAAGCTTACCACCTCTTTTGAAGAGCACCCCCCAAATGTACATAAAATGTCATGGTTTTCAGTGGTTTTCCTTTAACTTCTTCGTTTTTAATGGTTGTATTGATATCATACTGTACCTGTGAATCTGTGTCTATGACTGCCATGTGGATATTAATACAAATGTGAGCTTGAACATTAGCACCGCTGGTAGCAATAATAAAGTTACCAGAAGAGACTTGAATTCTGAAAAGAGTAAAAATTGATTTACAGGCACATTTTGACAGTTTAATGAAACGGAGTAATCTATTTCCCAAAATGGTTACATCTTAAAGTTGTACTATCAACTATCCTTTTACAGTAATGGAATGTGGTATCTTATATGGGAGTGTTGATATGAGGTCCTAGTGGTTCCACTAACAGACTAGAAACCAAAAGTTTCTTGAATAAAAACAATCGCCATCCAGTGACCTCTCATTAGTTTCAATGGTGCACTTTGATAGTCAATAGCATCTATCATTGTTGAATTTAATAATGATGCTTCATTAAATAAACAGACAAAATCCATATTTTGACCTGACATACATCACCACTCCCACACAGACTTACTATCTAATGTACAAGGTTAAGAAGAACCTTAGGAAACATACAATCCCCTCAAACAAGGGATGCTGCAATTGGTCATTCAACAAAAAAAAGTGTGCTTGAACGTTCTCAATACATTCTTATTGTATTAACCATCTTTTTTTGCTTACACTTCTCTCTCTTCTCGTTTTCTGTACACTTTCATGACCTTTCCCTTTTCTTCAACCGCTAGTCTCTTTAATCAAGTCGATCTGTCTCCACTTTGTAGAGCTTGTTCTTTTATTAAGTTATGATTTAATACTTGCTGTAAGTGTTTGCTCTATGCTTGGTGGAGACTTGAATGTCCTTGGCTACTTTTTCTCACCTTTAACCAGTCTTGTGTCATCATCATATCAGTTTTATTGAAGTTCCCAGTCATAAACATTCACTTTCTCTCAACCCTCGCTGTTGTGTGTTAGTAAATGATATGAGACATTCAGGAAATAATTGTCTGAGGTACATTTAATGTGGCTTTACAGTAGGGTTAAGACACTCACCACACCTCCATTTTCACTCTTATCAATCACTCTTTCACATTTCTTATTCAGAGCTCATTTAACCAAGCTGCCATTGGGATTGTGTTGCTTTTCAGAAAAGTAAATACAAAAGTTTAAAGACTGTTTTGAGCACCATTTTGTAACCTCCCCTATCAACACCCCATTCCTTTTTTTTTACTAAGCCTTACTCAAACGATACAAAACCACACACACACGCTGCTCCCAACCTATCATGAGTCCCAGGAACAATCTCTCCACGGGAGATCTCAGGGGAAACGTTGTATGAAGGCTGGTCCAGTGGTCCTCAAATATCCCTGGTTAATATCCGCACATTCAAACCAAGACGCATGAAATGCATGTCCAACACAGCAGTGTGATGGGATGGGGAGAAATTATCCAATAAGAATGCTATTCTACTTTTCAATTATTTCACTGATGTGTCATTGTAAGCTTTCTGACAGACAGACAGCGCAACACAATCCTCTCCTTAATGCTCCCATAAAAAAAAGTGTTTGTCTGGTTTGAAGGAGCCCTAAGCTGGTGATAAGCAAATGATTCAACAATGAACTGGCGACTGATGAACAATGAAATGGACATTAACTTCACAACATGCCAATGTTACAAGGAGGTTGTCCTCTGAGATGCACATTCCATAGAAACCAGCAGACATAGGGGACCTCCAGGACTAGGTTTTGGAGGAAACACTGCCCCTAACACTTTCAATCAATTCCTGCCTCGACATAAAACAACACTTTACATCAATAAATACAATTAAAAAATAATAAAAATAATAATTAGCAATCACTTCTGGGCAGGCAGCACAAAATGGTGACATGCTCTAAGCCCGTTCCTAATAAGACCCTGACCTTACCGTTTATCTTTTCATTCACTACAAGTTCTGTTATACCTTCCACATCTGACTAAAGTATGTGGAGGTTTTAACATTAGGTTGTCATTTTATTGCTGGGTGGACAGTGCTCGTGTCTATTTCTATGGGCACAAGCACTGTCCATGACAAACTGTTCACACCCCTTGTTGGCAAATAACATTTTTGTTATTTTAAAGCTCATTTCCTGTAATTCTACACATTTTGCCATGGGGTGGAGATAAAATGTTGCAGTTTTAAAGTTAATTTCCTGCAATTCTACACATTTTACCATGTCTTATGTGTGTTCATGTGATATCTGAGGGACTCAAACATTACAACAAATTAAATGGGCTAAAAAACTGTTTGGGAACCACTGAGATAGCCAATCATAGAAAATGTAATTTCCCTTGTGCTTGAATACATTTTCCACAAGGAGATTATTTTGTGCTGGATTCATCCATATTTTAGATTCAACTTCTCTCGTTCTCCTCTAGAATAACCAAACACATCCACTGTCATTGTGCTGATGATCAAACAGGCACACTAAATCCCTCCTCAACCAACCACAACAACCCAACCTCAGCTGGGTCGTGTTCAATAGGCACAAAACAGAAGAAACTGCCTGAAAAAAGGTGGGATTACCTGGATTTATCCAATAAGAAATGCTTATTTTCATTTTGTGTTTCAAAATGTATTTTTTCATTATTTGCCATAATGAACACAACCCTGAGCTTCAGGCTGTAGTAACTGCCTATCTCCACATGGGGGAGACAGTGACCATAACTGATAACCAAAACAAAACCGCCAGAGAGAAGAAGGCTGGCCGGCTGACCGCTGAGATGGACCGTCCCTTGCTCCTGTTCCACTTGGATCCGGTTTGATCTCTGACCCGAGGTGGCTTGATGGGGGTCTGGGGGTTAAGTGGGGGCTTACTGTGGGGAGGGGAGTAGGGCCCGTAGCCCGGCCAATCATCACTGTACCTCTCCCCACCGCCGCCTGATCCACTGCCCTCTTCGCCCTCACCTTCAGAGAGAGATATGATATCACACACACACAGACAGACAGATGAGAGAGAGAGAGAGAGACACACAGAGAGAGAGAGAGAGAGAGAGAGAGAGAGAGAGAGAGAGAGAGAGAGAGAGAGAGAGAGAGAGCAAATGTTAGGGAGACAGTAGTAACATAATTAGAAAGGGGATGACTGTCTTAGTCATTTCTGTTGGGGGGAGGGGCTTACTGTCCACGAAGTCAGTGTCCTGTCCGGCCTGTGCATGTTTCAGTCTGTTGGTGGCCACTCTGAGCTCCATGATGAGCTGTCTGGTCCTCACGTCTGGCCTGGCCAGGTCCACCTTTAGCTCTGGGTTATTGATCTGACTCTGGAGCCCATTGCCTGTCACGACAGGGAGGTACCTGATACACACACACATCAATATGACATAGCTACAGCACAAACTAATATCAGTACAATAACACAAAGACTCATATCAGTATATGTTCTTAGCTACCTGCTCGTTCGCACACACACACACAAATCTCCATCTTCTTTCTCCCTTGCACTAACATCCTCCTCTACCTTTACATCAGCTTCTTATCTAACACCCACCTCCCCCTTGTCCACATCCACCTCCCCTTGGTCCACACCCACCTCCCCTTGGTCCACACCCACCTCCCCTTGGTCCACACCCACCTCCCCTTGGTCCACACCCACCTCCCCTTGGTCCACACCCACCTCCCCCTGGTCCACACCCACCTCCCCCTGGTCCACACCCACCTCCCCCTGGTCCACACCCACCTCCCCCTGGTCCACACCCACCTCCCCCTGGTCCACACCCACCTCCCCCTGGTCCACACCCACCTCCCCCTGGTCTGTCCATTCCAGCAGCGGTCCTCGTTGGTGACGTCGGCAGCCATGTTCTCGTCGTTGCAGATGGTGTGTGGGAGGGATACCCAGAAGCCCCGCATGGGCCGCAGTCGCTCCTTCAGCTCTGACACCTGGAGGCGGGCAGACGGAAACTGGTTGATGCATGCAGTAAAGTAAACCCTTATATAGCTGTTGAACTTATGGAGGTGGGAAGCTAATTTTAGCCGACTCCTCATCATCAAACAAACTAGAATGTACTGTATATAAATGGCTGTTGGTATGGCTGTTGTTGAAGATATGGACAGAGAGAGCTAACATGGGCATAAATTACAAAAATAATTGGCTAGAAAATCAATTGGAGGTAAGAACTCCTCTCCCCCTCTTCTCTTTCCCCTCCTCCTCCTCTCGCACCCCACTCTCCCTCTCTGATCTTCCCTCTCCTCTCCTCTCCTCCTCCTACCAGTCGGTCCAGGTTGGTGCCTGCAGCAGTGGTGGGCTTCTCCTCAGGGCTGAAGGTACGAAAGGGTCTCCTGTTGCCCCCTGACTCCTTGGGGGAGCGCCGAGAACGGCCCGGGGCCGACCTGGGTCTCCCACAGCCCTGGAACACCTAGAGCCAAACCACAGAGATAAAGCTATTTATCTACATGTATCTAAATTGATGTATCCCAGCAACAATAAGGGTGAAACATGGATTTAAGAAAAAAAAATGGTAGACAGTGGATACTTAAATTAAGAACAATATATGAATAATAATATGGTAACTAGTAAAATTGCACTATGCACAGTTTTTACAGGTAGTTCCACAATTTGATAAAGCAAAGGGGTTTTGGACCCAAACTGGTCTTCCATGGGCAGTAATAAAACTGTTAAACGTTAAGCCTTGTTTCAACCTAGAATGACAGCCGATGTGCATCTTATCAGCCATTCTATTATCTATATTCTATGATGTACATTCTATGACCTATATTCTACTGCACTGTGGACAGATGTACAGCACATTCTTTTAATCTCCCTCCATCCCCTCCATCCTTGCCTTAGTGGAGGTGGCGATGCTGTTCTCCTGCATGTGCATGATGGCCTCGGACACTTTGACAGAGATGGAGTCTGCAGCCAGCTCCATGTTAAACGGCCCCTCCAGCTTCTCAGATACTTGATACAGAGCATCTGACAGAGTAGAGAGTGAGAGAGATGAAAGATGGCGCATTGGATAAAAGTGTGAAAACAGAAGGATGACAAAAGGAAAGGGAAGAGAACTAATAAGAAATATATCCATTTTGTTTTTATGATGGGTGCAATGTTCACAACTTTAGATAGAAATGCAATGTATAGAACAGACATGACTCAGTTATTCTGTAGAATAGAAATGCGAGTAGGTTCTATACAGTACATTTCTACATGCATCATGTTTAACATCCCACTAAACCGAATCAGCCCAACAAAAGCCACCCACACCCTCCCTAATACCCGCCTCCAATCACCTATGAAATTGTTCCACTCAGTGTCCAGATCGACCTGATTGGCAAGGCAGCCCTTCATCACGTTGAGGCAGAGGGCATGGCAGGGGCGCAGGGAGGGCATGCCTCGACACAATGGACAGTACCACTGACGCATCAGGGCACGCACACACTCCGCACCAGCACTCAACTGGAGGATGAGATGAAGAGTAGAGGGTGTAGGATGTTAGGGAGATAAACGGAACAGCTAAATGCAGACCAATAGAAGACAATAAAGATAATTATTCTTAATATTCGTGCACGTACACACATACACACAGTTTACCTTAGCTGCCTTGTTGACAATGTCACGGCCTGTGGCCAAGCCTTGAACCAGTGCTCTGGCTGCAATGAATGCCCTGGACACCTGAATGAAAGAGAGATCAGCTAATACCTTCTGACACAAATCTACTCTACTGTATGTCAATACACTCAGTTCATTGTCTTCAAATAGTTATCTCTAATACGATCGCCTATGTGTTACTGTAACGTCATCGTTGAGTTTCAGTGGTGATTTGAATTACTTATCACACCAGCCTCTTTTGTTCATTATGGTGACAGACATTAGAGGGATAATTCACTCAAATTTCAAAATAACATATTTGTTTTCTTACCCTGTAAGCAGTCTATGTACAAGGTACTACCGCAATCTACGCTTTTGTTTTGTTAACCCAAATTCCGAAATTACATATTGGTTAACTATCCCTTTAATATTATTAAATATTAATTATTCAATTATGAATTATGTTAGTTTTCAGTTGATATACCAACCAAGCCTGCCAGACCTGTAAACGTAGTTTCCGGGGCAGGTCCCCAAAGGGCTGCAGCTGCTCTGCATGTTTGTTGACACACTCCAGGTACTCATCACTGAACTGGTACTGGGGGTTGACCAGAGAGAAGACCCGCTCCACCAGTCTGGACCAGAACTCTGACAGCACCTCTGTCAGGCTCACACTGCCCCCTGTAGACAAAAGAGGGAACTCTCAGACTGGAAAACATTTTGCAAAATAAATTGAAAATGAGCACTTCTTATTTGATAAGTCCAAGTAGTCATTCCCTGTTTCAGTCAGTTTGGTGCCTAATGAAAATGTCCCTAGGTTAGGTCAGTTTGTTTCTACTTGTTCAGACAATTTTTTGTCATCTTGGCAAACAAGGCATTGTTGAAATTATGAGATGGTGAGGGAAATGTACCATAGTGACAAGTACACAAATGCAGAGTCCAACAAGAGAGGAGAGAGAGAAAAGTGTCCCCACTAACCGGAGTAGTATTGGCGGAGCTCCACAAACAGCTCCTGGAAGACATTGGCATTCTGGGTGAAGAGGCGCCCGTAGGTCTTAGTAAACATCTGATTCATGGACTTTTCAGACAAGTCTATGAGCTCCCTGAAGAACTCTGACAGAAGAGAAAAAGGAATGAGATGGTCAAAAGCACGATACGGTGTAGACATGTTCGGAGTCCGACACCACTGGGATTCAACACCACATTCACACCAGTTCTCCATACCCAAAAGCAGAATTCACTACCACTAAACCACAATTTGTTGTGATTCAGGGGTGGCACTGGCATTTACTCAGGTCTCAAGAACCACTGCTCAAGAATAAGATAGCTATGACTAGCTGATCCCCACTATAGGATATTGGTCTAGCAATTAAGGTACTTTTAGCCCTCTCAATAGAGGAAATGTTACATACCACTCCTCAATGCAGTTGTCATTTCACGTCACACTATTTACAGTGTTCCCTTATGCATCCTTATTCTGATCGGATTTGCATTCCAGCTCACCGTCAAACTTGCGGTGCCTCTGTGTGAAAGTGGTGAGGAGGAACTGGCTGGTGTCGTCGATGGCCGACAGGAAATCCGTCTCACTCTGGTGGGCCAGTGTTTCCTCCATCTGACTGGAGCAGCAGGTGTAGTCTTGGGGACACAGACGCAGATGCTCACCTGGTCCAATAGAAAAACAGACAGGGTCAGATGCGAGCCAATCACAGACTGGGACAAGACGTGTGTGGGCATATTGAGGTGTTCACCTGAACCAATGTTAAAACAAGACGGGATCAGATATGAGCCAATCAGAGACAAGAGGTGTGGGCAGATGAACTAATGGTGAAGACAGAAGGATACAGTAGCGGTTGCTTTGCCGTCATCAGCACTCTGAAGTCAACTACCAGTAGTACACTAATCTATAAAAGCTCAATTTATGGTTCTGGTTTAGGGGAGACATTTAGGCTACCTCAGATTCTTCAGAATTTTTACTTAATTTAGAGATAGTATGAAATCAGAGGGGAGACGTAGAAAGAAGGGCCAATTCACACCCGCACTAACGGTGATGCTTATGTGCTTGAAGCGACCTTGTTACCTGCTAGACCAGACTCAGATACAGGTTTCTTCCCAAAATCACTTACCACCACGGCATATAAATGAGCAATGTATTAGGGCTTTGCCATGATAACAGTATCGCCATATTTTTTCTATGGCATTCTTTTTTTTTACATGAAGCAGACCAAACTCTTTAGTCCTTTAAAAACCTGCTGGATGTAAAATATTGCGTGCTATAGCTCTTGTAAAATAAATAAATGTGACTCTGGACGACAACATAATGATGTTTGTTTCCAACATTAGGGCTGTGTTCCTAAAGAAGTTAAATCCGCTTTGTGTTTTGTTTCCTTGCCACGATACTAACGAGTATCGCGATACTGGTATCGCCCCAGCCCTACAATGTATCATATGAGAAATATCGCAATATCAAAAATACTGATAATTCTACCCTGATTCTATCTTAATTGGAAAATGTCAATTACCCTTAGATGTGTTATGCTACCATGATTCTTCAAATGCTTTCATTCAATATAATAGCTCACAAAGTAGGCCTACTGTGTTCATTCACTGAATGTCTATCAGTTTAGAACAGCCACCAACTCTACCAATGTGGCAGTGGTTCTTCTGATCTTGCAGATATCCTTCTTCTTCATCTGTCTGTCATTAATAGAACCTTATTAAAGATAAGGCAGTAATTGAAAATGGGCATTTATAAACATGATATATTAAAACGCAATCCCAAATGGCACCCTATTCGCTATATAGTGCACCACTTTCGAACAGGACCCATAGGGAAATGGTTAAAAGCAGTGCACTATATAGGGTGCCATTTGGGATGCAAACCATTTCTTTGTTCACCAATACCCAGGTTGGACTAATAACATGACCGGCGGTAATGATATGCAAACATTAACGACCAGTAACAAGTCGGTGATCTCCAATGTCTCAACGTGGGAGGAAAAAACCATCTTATTGAGGCAAACATCATTTTACTCTGTTATACCGGGCACCTGTTTCTTTTTCCTCCGAAAACTTGGACTGAGGATCCCAACTCCAACATTTTATTTTTGGCTCTAGCTTGGATTTCTCCTCTGTCGCTCATTATTACCTCGCTCTCCTCCATTTCAACTCTCTCTCATCATCCCTCCTCCTCTCGGCCATCTGCTCCCCTGGCCCACGGGACAAGAAGAGCCAAGACCCAGACAGAGATAACCAGACACACAGACACACAATCAATATTGCAGTTCCCACATTCAGCACTCACATATAGCCTACAGCCAAACCACTCAAATAAACCTTCATACATACTAAGGCGTGCACAGCAGTACAACAAATAAACATTTGTCACCCAAATGACACTTTAAAAGGGGCAATCAGCAGTTCCTACATCAATTTCTGGACTTATAAATTAATGATATATACCCATTGATTCTTGAAGAATATAACGTATACCTCATGAGCTTAGTTCAACTGTCATACCCCATCAGAACCAAAAATACACTACATGAACAAAAGTATGTGGACACCGGCTCGTCGAACATCTAATTCCAAAATCATGGGCATTAATATGGAGTTGGTCCCCCCTTTGCTGCTATAGCAGCCCACTCTTCTGGGAAGGCTTTCCACTAGATGTTGGAACAATGCTGCAGGGACTTGCTTCAATTCAGCCACAAGAGCAGTGAGGTCAGGCACTGATGTTGGGCAATCAGGCCTGGCTCGCAGTCGGCGCTTGATTTCATCCAAAAGGTGTTCAATGGGGTTGAGGTCAGGGCTCTGTGCAGGCCAGTCAAGTTCTTCCACACTGATCTTGACAAACCATTTCTGTACGGACCTCACTTTGTGCACGGGGCATTGTCATGCTGAAACAGGAAAGGGCCTTCCCCAAACTGTTGCCACAAAGTTGGAAGGACAGAATCATCTAGAATGTCATTGTATGGTGTAGCATTAAGATTTCCCTTCACTGGAACTAAGCGGCCTAGCCCGAACCATGAAAAACAGCCCCAGACCATTATTCCTCCTCCAACAAACGTTACAGTTGGCACTACGCTTTCGGGCAGGTATAGTTCTCCTGGCATCCCAGATTCGTCCGTCGGACTGCCAGATGGTGAAGCGTGATTCATCACTCCAGAAAACGCGTTTCCACTGCTCCAGAGTCCAATGGCGGCAAGCTTAACACCACTCTAGCCGACGCTTGGCATTGCGCATGGTGATCTTAGGCTTGTGTGCGGCCGCTCGGCCATGGAAACTCACTTCATGAAGCTCCCGAAAAACAGTTATTGTGCTGACGTTGCTTCCAGAGGCAGTTTGGAACTCGGTAGTGAGTGAGTGTTGCAACCGAGGACAGACGATTTTTACGCGCTTCAGCACTCGGCGGTCCCGTTCTGTGAGCTTGTGTGGCCTACCACTTCACGGCTGAGCCGTTGTTGCTCCTAGACGTTTCTACTTCACAATAACTGCACTTACAGTTGACCGGGGCAGCTCTAGCAGGGCAGAAATTTGACAAACTGACTGGTTGGAAAGGTGGTATCCCATGACGGTGCCACGTTGAAAGTCACTGAGCTCTTCAGTAAGGTCATTCTACTGCCAATGTCTGTCTATGGAGATTGCATGGCTGTGTACTCGATTTTATACACCTGTCAGCAACGGGTGTGGCTGAAATAGCCGAATCCATTAATTTGAAGGGGTGTCCACATACTTTTGTGTGTGTGTGTATATATATATATATATATATATATATATACTCAAACTTTTGTAAAACAAGAAAACGTTTTTTTTACGGAAACATGGGCGGGAACAACGTTTAAAAAAAAAAATAGTTTCTACTGCCGATTGCCGCTTTAAATATCAACAGCTCACTGTCTTTGTCTGTCTGTGTTCTATCTCACTTGAGCGCTCACACACACCCCTTGACAATGTCCCATGATAATGCAACAACTAACAGCAGTTCTCAAGTGCCACAAGCACAAAATAATAATTATAATAAAAGCACTCTTTCCAAAAAAAGAAAAAAGGTTGATAATTATTATTTTATTTAAGTCATTCACAGATCAGTCCATAACAGCCACACTAATTAGGGGCGAGGCTCTTTGTTACACACCGGTGTTCGCAATTTCCTCATCCCATAAATAAGCCTTCCTGGCGGACCACTCAGACAAACCTGTTAATTCTCAATTTCGCTTTGTTCAGCAGTTTCTATCACATGGCATATTATCCAGTAAGGCTATACCAAGCAGACTCTAAAACCCTTCATAATGTGTAAAATAACCTATAGCCTACGTTTGATGATTAATTTAAATAAAAAACCACCAGTTTACTTTACATAGCCTGTCTTACCGGAGATTTGAGTCAGCGGGGCAGTGTTCGTACTGTAGCCCTTCTCTGCGTACACTTGCCGTGTCTCGGAGCAACTCCTACCCGCTGTTACCGGGCCCCAAGTCCATGACAGGGCAGCCAGCGTGCAGAGCAACACCGGGGGGTACTTCTGAGCATATAGCCGGGTAACCATCTTCCACCGTGCACACTGTGACAGTGTCACTCACGGTAAATAGGCGAATGAATGAATGGGTGACAAAAGATTGGCGACCAGGCAGCTCAAAAATGACAAAAGTAACGGGATACAAACTGAAGAGACTCTTAAGGCAAATAAATTCCTCGAAAAATCTATGGAATTATCTCCAGTTCCCCATTTTGTCTGTGAAAAGAAACACCCCAACAACTTCCTAAAATAAACTTTAGTCTATATTTTTCCAGAACGGGAAAAAAACGATGAATCGACAATTGTTCTGTGTGACTGGGTGCCGTGAGTAAATTAGCATCTGGTTAGTCGGGTGCTCAGCTCCCACCCGGTGTTTTCTCCATCCCTTGTCTAGCTATCTGCTTCAGAACAATGAGCCGTGCGGAACGAGGAGGGCCGAAAGGGGTGAGGTGCCGCCATAGGGGGGCTGTTGTAGCCGAGCCACCGCAAGGTCCTAAATTCGCAACCGCCAGACTGAACTATTGTTTGGAGCCACTACAAACCCATGCGACAAAATGAATCACCCTTTTCTACATTTATTTTTATTTTTTATCTCCACACATCTATAGCATTTTTATTGACTAGAATCAAAATGTCTCTCTGTTCTGATATTTGTATAAGCCTAATGACTTGCATACCTGAAGAACAATTAATCCTGTATTTGCATTTCTGAAGGTTACATGCAAAATAATGTTATCCAGCCACCAGACAGTTTTACAAATAGGGTATGCCATACAAGATGCAATCGTTTCCATGGCCAGCAAGTACATCTATTTACAGAAAAATCCATGAAATCCATAGGCTAATGCAAACACAGGCTTTGCCATTGAATTGTGCTTTTTTTATTATTATTAATTGCTTGATTACATTAACAAACCAATGCAAATGTGATTAGCTGTCCAGTCCTAACACTGGCCCTTTAAATGTCAATTGAGAGCTATATTACCACTTTCTTGATAATTTGAGCCCCTATGGGCACCCAGAATCCAGATGTAGCCTATTGTGAGAAAGACATAAGATGATACCATCTTCAACATGAAAATTCTGCATTCATAGTGTGGTACATAATATGGTATAATCAAAGTAGCTAACACATGACCTGGTACGAGCAAGTGATCATAGGCCTACAATCCAGTCTACTGCAGTGTTGAGTTGGCCTGGGCCTTTCTTTGTACACTTGTTTTAGTGGAGGAAAACATATTTTGATGTCTGGTGAAGACCTGCAAAAGGGGGTACACTCGTGTGTGTGTTTTCATGCCAGCACTGCCTGTGAAACAGATGTTACTCTCCAACCACCCCCCTGGCATGCTTTGCCTTATTCTGTTATTGATCAGTATTGATGAGGGTAAATAGGCTATATGGAAGTAGGCAGTGGGTAACTTCTTCATTAGCTTTTTATTATTTTAATTTCAGATGGACACTAAAATGAATAGAGCAGTAATACATTTAAGTAATTTAGCAGACACTCATTGAGAGCAACTTACAGTAGTGATTGCATACATTTTTGTACTGGTCCCCCCTGGGGGTCAAACTCGCAACCCTGTTGTTGCAAGCGCCATGCTCTACCATCTGAGCTACGTGGAGTATAATATATGGGGCTGTAATATATAATATGATAAGATTATCCTATCAGAATTTCAATCAATTCTTTACCCTATTAAAATATATGCAGACTCCAAAAGTATGTTAAATAGCACAACACAATTAGTGCATTCTTCCTTTTGTAGTTGGATGTGAGTGTTTGTGTTATAGACATAGCCTATGTTGAGAATTAATGGGGCCCTATGGTAATACAATAAATGCCTATCAAATGCCAAAGTGACTTTTCAAAAGCGTTAGGTTGTACGGAACGTTCGTTTCCTTCTGTACCTTCCTATAAATATAATTGTTAAGGGTGTAAAGCCTGATCCTAGGTCGGTTGTCTTGAGGGCCAATCCGTTCAAAATGTTTCGTTACCGTGCGGAAATATGTGCTAACAACCAATCATATGAACCACATCACAAATTGTCAGCCAATCGCTGAATTCCACTGAGAGTTGTCTGATTTTCGCGCCGGCGCGTGGTGTGTATTTCCAGCGATCGTCTGTCATCGGATCTGAGGGAAACCTGTTCTATCCAAAATAGTTAGCTAGCTACCAAGTCGTTCCTTCAGATTAAATCACTATTATCCAGGTAGGTAGCTAGATAAAGTTTTGTATTATTTAACACACGTTTATTGTAGTTAAATGAGTTAGCTTGCTAGTTTGAATTTCGCACTGTTTACTAACTTTTACGGCTAACGTTAAACAGCTAACTAAATAGTATAACAGTAGCTAGCTAGCTATCTAGATATAACGCTAGCTAGCTAGCTATAATGTTAGCTCTTATTGGTTTTGCTTTTGCCAAGGCAGAATTGTAATATCCCGAACTCAATATGCTTGTTAATATCCCAAAATTGTTGTTTCTTCTAATGTACAACCTGTTTAGCCAAGGTTCCTGAATCCAACAGTCTTCTACCTTTGTGAAGTGAACACTACAGTAACGTTAACATTACTGCCTCACCAGGAAAATGGAAGTGCAACACTCTGATGAATCAAGCCTTGACAGGTAACTTAGGCTAGCTACCGGTAACTAAGCATGACTGAGTCATAGGTAGCACAAATATAGAAAGAACCAGCTAGCTAGATAATTATGCAGACTTATTGCATTAGCTAGATAGTGTGATTGTTTATGACTCGTGTTGTCTTTGTTCATTCCAAATTTTATTTGCAGTCTTGAGGAGATTGATGACATCTCAGACTCTGGCAGTGACTTTGAATTACAGCTGAAGTCAATAAAGCGGAAAAAACAGACCATTGCACTACTAGGACCTCAGGTCTGTAATGTTTTTTCTCACACACACACACACACACACACCACAGGAGGTTGGTGGCACCTTAATTGGGAAGGACAGGCTAGTGGTGATGGCTGTAGCGGTATGAGTGGGATGGGAATGAGTAATCGACTACTGGAACTGACATAAAAAATGTATCTTTAACCAGAGATCACATTTTGTTCAAATACTGTAAAACTATTTGGTCGAGATTTTGTCTTCAAGACAAAGTTCATGTGCTTTGACTCTAGTGTTCCATTTGTACATGTGCATTTGCAGGACACAACAAAAAAGAAACCAAGCCAAGCATCACACAATTCTGCTCCCTAAATGGCCTTTCCCCTTCATGTCTCACTCACTCAATTGCATTGACCGCTCGCTCTACATAGGAGTGCTGAGTGCACCTACAGAAATAAATGCCTATAAAAACGTATCTAACTGATGGGATACATAAGCTACATTCCTTGCCAAATGACTTCAGTTTTAACACAAATTCAAAATGGACTGGTTAACTGAAGTAGGGAAATATGTGTTCCAACAATGAGCTGCAGTTTTGAAATAATTGTGTAATTTTTGTTTAGGCTACTTTGCGGCTGTAACTAGTTACCACAGCCACAAAGTCAACATTGGCTATATCGTAAAAATTAATGAACACAAAAATGTGCTTTTTGGTCTAAAGGTTTGCAGTGTGGTTAATGCTAATGTTAGATTTAAAATCAGATTTTTAGAAGCAAAATTGTAGAAACAGACAGGATTTATGACTTTGTGGCTGTGGTAACTAACGTTAGTGACAACACTACTCTGCGAACCGCTAGTAGCATTTAGAATAGGAGCCTAAGCCAGGGTTCCCCAACTTATTTGGCCCCCCAAGTTTTCAGAGCAAATAATAAAAATACAAAAAATACAAATTTCGGGGTGGAATTTTCATTGTTGGACATAATACTGACTGTAAAACACCAGGAAATCAGCTCCAAGTGATTTTAATTTAGGAAATCTATTCCTAAGTATTCCCACGCACAATAGAGAGACACATTATCTTATACAAATATAAGAAAGGTTTGAAATGATTATGTTTAGTCAAACATTATATCTGTTTGGGCTCCTTGCATCAATATGCAGTCTACAAATAATTCGTAATTATGCTAAAGGAAAAAATTGGCCTGTGGCTGAATCTAGTTGATGATCCCTGGCTTAGGCTATTACCCCTAAACATAGACAGGTTCTACACTGAAAATATGCAAAAACATTAGTTTGTAAAGACAGAGCGTATTTTCATCAGAATCATTAAGCCTAGGCCTACTCATCAAACTGATGTTGTGGCCATAATTCATTCCCATGCCGTGTTCAATGTAGAATAGTTAATCCATTTAGAAAATTCCAGCGAACAAGCATAATAAATTCAATCAAAACGACTTCCCAAATTGAGCCCTGTTTCAAATGATCACTCTATAAGAATAACTGTTCCAGACGTGACATGCAAATCACTTCGCACTATTCTGTTATATTTTATTCTGTTATATTACATTGTTGTTTTACTATAAAATGTGACTGGTTTCAGGAAACTAGGCATATGTCGCGCGTCACTACTTCATAGAAGCGCCATTTGAACTTAAACTTTTTTTAAAAATCTAAGTGCGTTCTTTGGCAGAAATGCCTTCTGGAACATGTGAACTTTCATGTGCCTTAATAACAAACTTGTATGCCATCTGTAAATACAAATAAAATGGTTAAATTACGAGCCTAATTGGTTTAGCCACAGAAAAAGACAGCAACCTTCACGCTAGCCATGATTGGCTGAGATGATGAGTGGGCTGGACATGCCGAGAGATGAGTTCGGAGTGTGAGTTCGGATTGGTCTGTCATGTAGCACGCTTCAGTCTATAATATGAGCAGGTCAGTATGTGTAGGTAATCCTTTCTGAAAGCTTATTTTTTGAAAGATATCATGTAGTAGAACTGCATAAGTGTTGTTCTCCACTTTCTGGAGGACCGAGTTTTGAAATCAGTGGAATTAGAGTATGATAGCTAAGGAGATGGAGAAAATTCTGGCGTTTAATTGCAAATATGCAGACGGAGTCAAAAAGAGAACACCTGTCTCCGGATTACATCTTCAAACTAAGGGCAACCATGGCATCCGTGACAGAAGAAGTGTCTATCCATGTATACGGGTAAGAGAGTCATTTTCAGATATTACACGTTTCTAATTTTGTCAGAAAGTTGTTTTCATTTCAAGTTAAACTGTACTGTTAGCTAGCTAGCAAATGTTACGTGTATGATCTGTGTAGTAATATTATTTGTATAAAATCAAATTGTATTTGTCACATACACGTGTTTAGCAGATGTTATAGCGGGTGTAGCGAAATGCTTGTGCTTCTAGCTCTGACAGTGCAGTAATATCTAACAATTTCACAACATATACCTAAAAACACACTAAACTAGTAAAGAATGGGATTCAAGAGTATATACATATATGGACAAACAATGACAGAGCAGCATGGACTAAGATACAGT